GCTTAATTTTTATATTTTTTCATTTTTTGGTTAATGAACTCATTTTTGGGATTTGTCGAATAAAAAATGTTGAAATTGTTGAATTTAAGGTTATGGTATTTATTTTTTAATTTTTGGCATTAATTTTATAATTTTTTTCATATTTTTCTATTTTTTTAATTAATCAATTACTCATTTTCGGAATTTATTGAAAAAATAAAAATTAAACAAAATTATTGAAAATTGGCCGGATAATTTATTTAAAAGGGGGTTGATTTATGGGTCGGATTAGGTGTTTATGGGTCCGAATATCATTTTATGTGGTAAGGCCAAAATGACATGACAATTTCATGGGCATTTAAAGAAATGAAAAATAAGTTGGATATGTCCAACATGACAACTAACGTCTATAAGAACATATTTGGACCAAAAGTTGGATAGCGAGGACATCAGTGAACCAAACTATATTTAGACCTTTTTGAATAGTTTAGGGGCATATTTGACCTTTTCCCAATTAAAAAAGAGAAGATGAAAACAAATGGAATTACAGTAGCTTAAAAGATAAAAATAATATAAAATGGAAAGAATATAATGAATTGATTTTTTTTAAAAAAGGAGCGGAACATAATAAAAAAGACTAATAATAATAATAATAATAATAATAATAATAAGCAAAATAAAGAAAAACAGAAACGTTAAAAAAAACATAATACAAAATAAGAAACAAAATTAAAAAACAAATGAAAAGATATTTATAAAAAATAATAACCAAAACAGAAACAATACTTTTATGGAAAAGTTAAAAACGGACGTGCAAAAGAAAGAGAAAGAAAATAAAAATAAAGGGAAAAATATTCCTAAGAAATAGTCCTAATTTCTTTAAAATTTCTTGCTAAAACTAATCATAAAATTTTATCTCTTAAAATCTAATTAAAAAATACAATCCTAAAATGCTCAAACTCAAAAAATCTCACTCCTACACAAATTATATTCCTAGTAATTATATACCTATATATATATTCCTTATCAACAATAACAAAAAATAAAAAGTAAAAAGTAAAAAGTAAAAAAATAAATACGTTTGAAAAAAAGGGAAAAAAAGAACTTATGGACGTGTCAAGATATGCAAATATCCATTTCTTAACAATACTTTATCTAATTTGAATAAATTCATGCGCATATACATAATTCTTATTAATGAACATGTGTTAAAATGCATAAGACAATTTTAAATTGGTATAAAATAAAAGGAAAATGGACGGATTTACCTTCGAACTTTAATAAAAGGTGTGTATAGATCCTTCGTTATACTATGCGTATACGTATATCCCTACAGTCCAATTA